AATACTCCAGTAAGCTTGAAAATATCATAAAGATTTTTCTTACTTCTCATTGGCCATTGAAGTCTGCTGTTTTTCAGCACTTAAAAAAATTGGATCTTACCTTGCTGTCCTTGAAGTGTCGGGAAATAGTTGGCAAAAGCACATTGTCAACTTCTATTTGCATTCATTGTGTACTTATTAACTGTTATGTTGGTAGTTCATTGCTGTTAATTTAATACTGAAATATTTTGGAGTCCTATTAATCACGTACTAGCTATATATAGATAGAATCATTAAATCAGTGGGAGGTAAGTGGTGTAGTAAGAGTCCTGCGCAGTACTGTCCTTTACTAGTCCTCTGACTTCTCAACATGAACATGAACGTCTTCTCTTGACTAATAATGACAGGAGTGCTTAGGAAACTTAAAAATGCTTGTGTGTCTAACTTCGTTTGTTACAGGCTGTATCAGCTTCTGGAAGGAGAAAATAAAAAACAACAATTGTTTAAAACATATGAAAGCCTGGAGCAGATGGCTCAGAAGTTAAAGCAGGACTGTGCTACAGTACAAGCTCAGCTAGCAGTGTCTTCTCAAGAACAGTCTCTCCTTATGTCCAAGCTAAAAAGTGATGTAGATACCCTTCATGATGCTCTGTATCATGGAGGAAATCAGATACAACTCAGTAGTCAGGTAAGACCTTATCTAGTTATTAAAATTATTACATTAATGTGTGTCATGTTCTTTTACTGAGAAAAATGTAGTATGAAGGCTGTAGACACGCAAACTGGCTCCCACATGTCAGCAACAAATTTATTAGCATAATGGTGATGGGCCCAGTATTTACATTGTCCTTAGCAAATGTTGGATTTTGTAAATGTTGGCAGGTAATAATTTTTTTGTTTCTGAGCAAATTGTTGCATCCAACTTTTAATTCCTTTCAAAGGTGTATACTGTCCTGTATTACTAGTAAGTTTATGGTGTGGGAAATACGTTGTCTGGATATTCAGACATTTATATTCATTTAAATTTCTCTTTATTTCAGATGGGCTTTTTTTTCCCTGTTACCTGTAACACCTGAATAGTACGATTTGGCCCTTAAAAAGCCTCGCCATGGGTGGCTCATTTGGACAAAATAAGAATATCAGAATTTTGAAGGACAGTTGTAGCAGGACAATCCTGCTACAGAGCTACCAGGTGTTGGGTTTAGAGCCTCTTCTAAATGGGAATAGGGGTTGTTAAATGCAAGTTATTACGGTTTTTAAATGATTGTAGATATCTCAAAAGTGGATTGAGGGAAGTCTTCTGTTACATAATACTTCCTTTGGTTAAATAAAAATATATTTAACACTTCCATCTGTCAAGTGAATTTGCAACATATAGAACAGTTTTTATTAAAAAATGAAACTCTGTAATTGGAATGATACATATTTAGGGATTACATGTTATTAAATCAATCAAATACCTTTCTATTGATTCAAGTTGCCTCTTAAAACATAGTGACATCTCTTTCTATTGCTGCTGTTTCTCGAGAAAAGTTACTTCGTTAATAAGGAAATAATGTGCAAGTAGATGACTAGCCTACTTACACTGAGCTATCATAAGAATGACAGTTGGGAAAATTGTAGCTGGAAATGAATGATTTAATTTTAAAATTGAATTGTCTTTTTTCTTGTGGTTTTTTTGTTCCCTTTTAAGATTTGACTAGCTATGAAGACTTGTAATTGATTGAAAATATTATTCAACCATCTATCTAATTGAGGGCCAGATTCTTGTGGTCTTAACTCGTCTGGTTTAGTAAATGAGTAAATGAAATTACATTTTCATAACCTGATGCGAGTACCATTACACGGAGCTCAAAAGTTACATAAATTGAATAGAATCCCTTATCACCTGTGTTTCTGTTTTTTGTGATGACTTTTCACTTACAAATGAAAGTGGCTTCCGAAAGCAAAAAACTTTTATATTTCTAGTTCAGCTAGTGTATTAACAATACAAAAGTAATAATTTCTTGTCTTGTATTTTTTGTTAGGAACTTACTGAGCAGTTTCATCAACTGGAAGTTGATTTAAATAAACTAAATCAACTCCTTATGGATCTGATTGCTGATGTGAAGTCAAAGAGAAACTTTTTAGAGTCCAATAAGCTGCATCAGATGGAAAGAAACTTGTATGTGTATTTTTTCAAAGATGAAGACTACTTGAAAGAGATGGTGGAGAAGCTTGAGCAGCAGTCTGAGGCTAAAGCCAGTGGTCTAGAAGATTAGAATTTCACCACCAGTGAAGTTCTTAATGTTTAAACTTCAATGCACTCTTAAGAAAGGAAAACATGTTAATGTAAACTGTCTACAAGTTTATGGAATGATAAGTATTAGCTTATCAAGGCTAACATTTATCTATCATTGCAACATACGTTTAGCTGCCACAGTTACCAAGTTTGGATTGTGTGCTGCTTTATGGCTTTTGGTGTCTGCCCACTGAGTTCAAATCGGTTTTGTCAAAGTTCTTTGATATGAAGTAATACATTGATTATTTGAACAAATTACATTCAGGCTGCTCTTCTGCTAGCCTGTATGTTGATTTCCACTGAACACAGCATAGCACAAAAAGGAACATTTCGCACCCTTGAGATAAGTTTTCTTGCATGTTAAGAGCTTTTGATATGTGAACTGAAAAATAAATGTGGAGAAGGCATTCCAGATTTTGGAACATGAATGTAATGTGTTGATTCTGAAGAGGAGAGTTCTCCAAGGCAGATGTTCAGTGATTATTTCCCTTACAGCTCTCCTGAGAAGATTCGGTTTTGTTAGAAATGTGTTGGAATATGTACCAGAATCTGTTTCAAGTACCAAAACCATCTGTTTTAAGACCATTCC